TCACAATCCTACACAATGTTCGTGTGTCTCGACCACTCGACACACATTTCCGTCCACCCTGGTGTTTATTGGATGCGGTTTTTCCAGTCCCCCTGTATGCAGTCATAATTTTGGATACTGTGCCTCGCGAAACACCAAAGACCTCGGCTACCTTGGTTATGGAAGCACCCACCATACGAGCCCCAACAATTTGCCCGCATTCGAATTCTGTTTGCTCTGACACGATGCACTAGAAACTGCACATGACACTCTCTCGACAACAAATGAAGCTTGCAACGTATTGTGGAGGTTGTACTGGTAATGGTATTGGGCAGATACAACAGCGTCACCTACAAACTTCGCTAAAATAAACACTTCAATTCAGGCATGCATTTCACGAGGTGTTTCCATATTTTTGTCCATCCCCTGGATCCCCTGTAGTTCCTCTGCAGCAGAAAAGTGCCGATCACGAGCGAATCTTCGTGATGAGGTATGGGTTTCTGTCGGTGGTGGCTATGGAGATACTACCATCTAAGATGTGACGCCATGTAGTCTACGTTGTATATGTATTGCCTCCATCTTTTAAGTTGGTTCGTTTAGTCTTTGACCCTAAATTTGGAGCCAGTGCATTCTCTGAAACGTCGTTTCTACAAGACAACGCAACATCACATCCCAGAATGTTTGAAATGTTAGAGCATGAATTGGGAAACAAAGATAAAAAAAGAAAAAGGTAAAGTTGGCCCTGTGCTTAACTAATTAAGTACTATGCCATGAAGACGGTCGGAGTGGATGTATAGACCCACATTTTCTTGATCTTGACACTAGTTGGAGTGGTCAGCTTTACGCCCCGGCCGCTTTACCCCCGGGGAAAGAGCCTTCGATACCCATTGGATAGAAGGCTGGATGGGCCCCAGAGCCGGTTTGGACTACATGCAGAAGTGAAAATGTTTACCCTACTGTGATTCGAACACCAACCCCTCCGTCGTCCAGCCCATAGCAAGTCGCTATACTGACTGAGATATCCTGGCTCTTTATGAATTGGCCACCAGCAACTTAAAAATGATAACGGACCTTAATTTGATAGTGATGCTGTAATGATTTGTCATTACAGTACAGTGACCAATTCTTTTATTATTTTCTTCAGACGATATTTTTACAGTTACACTGTTTATCTAAACACATCTTAGTGGTATTAGCAAGTTATTTTCCTGGTAATATTTTACTCAGTCTCTGTAGTGACGGCCCTGACCTATTCTATCTTCTGACTTGCACTTAGATTCACGTTTCATTCTGTGCAGTTTTCATGGACTACGTGAAATGGAGGTATGATAGGGAAGTCACGCCCTTGACCCATATGCATGTTTCATGTGTAAGATATAATTTAGTTTTGGCTCATATAAATAAACGTTTTTCCATGCATACTGTGGCAGATTTATCTGGCTCCAGCTATATGATTGATAATCTCATTAAGGTGTGGAACTTTCATTTGAAACATTATTTGATGGTTTGTATATTTATCATTATAAGAGACATCTTAAACTGTGACACTTCTTAATACACAAATAAGGCAATTAAGTGTAGCTAGATTACTAGAATTAAGTAACTGTTTTGCCTTTACTTAAGCTTATTAAACTAGTTACATTAGGGTGATATCTACTTCTTATTGACATACATGTGTATGTTTAACTAAATATTAGGAAGAATAATTTCTGATTCTGTGGAGTGTGATATTGATAGTGTGCTCAGCTTGCAAAAATGTGCTATAATAATAGATTAGTATCTACATTAAATTAATCTGTCAGCCAATTAGATATTCTGAATTGCTAAGATTAAACATGGGAAATGTGGATACATCATTGCAGTACATCTTTTAATCCTTGCTAATGTAACTAGATGGAACATTAACCAGTTGATCTTCCTAACTTGTCTAGAATTAAAGTTGTCTAATGAATTTCTTGCACAAGGTGCACAGAATATATATAATGTGAGGGCTGTTTTGTGTCATTTCGCATGTTTCATCTTTGAAAGTACTCGGGGCATTTTGATTGGCCCTGTGGTTCACTCAGCCTCTAACAGAAATGAGTACCAGGAATTAATTAAATAATCTTCCTGGGGAGTAAAGCGAAGCCGGCGCGTAAGGCTGATAACCTTACCGCCATCTTTGAGCAGACTGTCTAGAAAATGTGGGACCCTCAACATCTCACAACCCTATGGGCCTTCAAGGCCTGATACAGGGATAGCTTTACTTTTTTTTTACAGGGCATTTTGATAACATTTGGTATTGAGGGTCTGCACTAAGAGTTGGTGAATAAATTTAATTTCACTGTACTCATACTAGTCAGATATATGTGATTAATAGTAACAGAAATTAACATTCACGTGGAAATTAAGAGAAGACTGAATTCGGGGAATTCAGTCCTGACTATTTTCTTCTCACCTCCTATGTAAATATGTGAAGATAAAATATACAGAATCATAATTTTACCTCTTATTTAAATTATGACATAGGTATTTTGCCTTAAGGGAAACATGGATTTAAGGTGTTGAGAGTAAAGTACTGGAGAGAATGTTTGGATTTAAGAAGGGAAAAGTAACAGGAGACTGGAAAAAAATGCATGATATGGTGCTTCATAATTTGTACTCTTCAATGGATGTTAGTGACAAAAATCAAGAAGGATGAGGTGGGAGACACATGTACCATGCACAATAGAGACAAGAAATGCATACAAGATTTTACTCAGGAAACCTGAAGGAAGGAGACTGTTTAGGATACCTAGATGTATACAAAACTAAAAAAACTCCGTGACCTGTAGTCCGCAAGTGAACTATACCGACTGAGCGACCACCGCTGGTCAGTGAAGTTAGTGCCAACTTTTGTGGATAGAGAATGTTACGTGGTCATCACAACAGATCCCCATGGCCACTAATCTCGGTTTTCTAAACCAGAAGATGTATACAAAAAGGTAATATTAAATTGGATCTTAAATAAATAGGGTGTGCGGATGTGGACTGGATTCATGTGGCTCAGGGTATGTAGATCAGTGGTTGGATCTTGTGAACGTGGTAATCAGCTTTCAGGTTCCTCTAAAGGGTGGGGAATTTTGTTACTACCTGAGTGACTATTAGCATCCAAATAAAAAGCTTTACTCTGTGAAACTGGCTGTAGTGTGTCATATTTCTCATTTTATATGAATTCCAAATTGAACTTAAATTTCTCAGAAATGGCTCACTATACATGAAATTGGCATATATGTAAAATATGAATCTCAACTTTAACTTGGAACATTTTTAAATATGGTGAATGAAAAGTAAATGTAAAAAAAAAAAAAAAGTTAAGCTATCCCTGTAACAGACTGTGAAGGCCCATAGGGTTGTGAGACGTTGAGGGTCCCACATTATCCAGACAGTCGGCTCACAGATGGCAGTAAGGTTGTCAGCCTTAAGCGCTGTCTGTCCTTACACCCCAGGAGGATTCCTGGTACTCATTTCTGTTAGAGGTTGAGTCTACCCCAGGGCCATAGTGTGACTGGAAGGATTAGGTAAGTGAAAGTAAGTAAATTAAAGGTATCCCTGTAACAGGCCATGGAGGCCCATAGGGTTGTGAGATGTTGAGATTCCCACATTTTCTAGACAATCGGCTCATAGATGGCGGCAAGGTTGTCAGCCTTATGCACTGGCCGCCATTTACCCCGAAGAACATTCAAAGAATGTTCCTGGTACTCATTTCTGTTAGAGGCTGAGTCAACCCCAGGGCCCTAGTGTTGCTGGAAGGATTAGATCAATTGAAAAAATCCAGTGACCTCATTGGGACTTGCACCTGCGACCATCCAGCTTGTAGCATAGTGCCTCAACCAATTACACTATCCCATATATTTAGCAAAATACAGTACACTTCACAGCTGCCTATGCCATTGTGTCTTGTATCTACACATTTTCTAGTGTGAAAATTTTATCGTAACAACACATAGTACATCCATGTAAACAGGTTTCAGAATAACCTTCAAATACAATGGTTAGGTACTTGGGGCTCCTTATTGCACAACTAACCACTATTATTTCCTGCCAAACTTGCTGCATAATTTGTGTGTTTCCTATATTTGCACAGATTCTCTGAGATTTGTTTCTTACCTTGCTTCTGCAAGTACAGACTGTATAAGAAACAGCTCATTAGAACACTAGTATAAGTAAAAGAAGCATAAATGTCTGGACACCGTATTTTAAAGATGTGCCCAGAATTATCAGTATCTATTAATTAATCTGGGATGCAGTGAAGTTTTACTAACCGTGGCAAGTTTTTCTATATATTCATCAGGAGCCCCAAGTGATGCAAGTCCAATCTCCTGGGAGAATTGTGCAAATGCGGGGTCAGCAAACAATGGAGCATGGCCAAGCAACTCGTGACACACATCAGGTTCTGGGGTGTACAGTGGGCAGCTGGAGTGGCGGATGTACTGTGTGGAGTGAAATACACGGAATGCCAATCCTGCCAGGAAGTCCCGAGATGAAAGAAGACCTGCCACTGGCCGTAATGTGAATCCTGTACAGTCTGCAAGAGATAGTGAGCACCACACACCTTCAGTATTAATACAAACTAAAGGGAATGTCTGTTGAAATTTCAGTGGAAAGTTAGAGGAGGTGTAATTTACATATCACACTGTTACCTCTTGAAGAAGCATTTAGGCAGCAGACCGTTTTAAGCCCTTATTAATTTCCTGGAACTCAGACCACTGGCTAGTACTGTTTCTGTGTGAAATGGTATCCTATAAATTAATTTTTATATTTTCCAGAATACTTCATTCTTTGGACTTTTGGATGTAACTTTAATCAGTTTTGTTGCATTAAGTAAAAAAAATTAAATAAGCTTCCTTGAGCATCAAATGACAAACCAAAATATGGTACCAGGATTCTAATATGAAAAGATATGTATAAAAATATTTTTCATGAAACCCTGCGCTTTGTTATTAGGGAAAAGCCAGACTCCTGCCATGAATGCCTCCTGTAGAAATCTTGAGGTGACTCATACATATAAGAACACATCTGCACATATGAAGCCCTCTCTGTCAGGTATATAGATTGCTCCCAAATGATGTTCAACATATATGTGCACTTCTGACATGTGGCAAGCAAGTGGATATAATCATAGTACTCAAACATGATTTCTTAAGTAATCTTTTTATGGGGGCCAGTGCTGAGAACATTTGTCTTAAGAGGTCAGCTGACAGCAGAGGTGCCGTACAACAAATGCAATTTTTAGCATAGGGCTGTATAAAATTTTATTTGTAGGATCTGAGTTTCTCACAGAGATGTCTTCTGGGATAGATAGAACTCTTTAAAATTAGATTTATGAGTCACATATAGTTCTTTACCAGTCTTCTTGGGACAATCATAATTTATTCAGAGCTTACATCTTGTTATTAGCAATTCTTGATTATGAAATGTGTTCTACTTCTGGTGCCAAATGTGCCTGTTTATTATGCAAAAACTATTTTATGTTTATGTTATGTTACTGAAATGTCTTTTACATTTAATCCAAGAAACAGAGAAACAGATAAAAAATGCTACTTATGGAAAAATAATGAAAAGAAATAGTAAGAGATTCTTACACTGTGGGTTTAAATTATGAATGGATCTTGTACCTTTGAGGAAGTTTGATACATCCTGAAGTTGGGGGATGTTGTCCTCCCGGTAGCCACAGTTCTCTATAAGCAGAGGGAACACATGGTTGTGCTCCTTACAGGCATGGGTAGGGTACAGTTTGATGAGTTCCCTGAACACTGATCCCCATGTTGCTATCTCCTCTTCTGTGTAATCAACATGTGGCAGAGGCTCTCCACTTTCATAAATAAAAACATAGCATGATTTATTACACCACAAAGAAGTACAAAGAAAGAATATGAGGTAAAAATTAAAGCTACAAATCATGTATACTGGAAATATTTGTCTACGTAGTCCACATGAGACTAAGACAATTATCATTCAGTGGGATGAGATATTTTATATGCTGTCCATATAAGTCACTGTCCTTCAGAATTGATTTTAGAAAGAACTGAGTTTTAGAACAATGTTGTAACTGGTTATGAGACCTGTGTTTTTTTTATGGTGCAGAAATAAAATACAGAACTAACATATTCATGGGGGCACGTGGTAGCATGTTTGGTTGAGACACTGTGCTACAAGCCGGAAGGTTGCGGGTTCAAGTCCCGATGAGGTCATTGGAGTTTCTTCAATTGACCTAATCCTTCCAGCCGCACTATGGCCCTGGTGTGAACTCAGCCTCTAACAGAAATGAGTACCAGGAATATTCTTGAAATGTTCTTGGGGGTAAAAGGTGGCCGGAACGTAGGGCTGACAACGTTGCCACCGTCTATGAGCCGATTGTCTAGAAATATGGGAACCTCAACATCTCACAACCCTATGGACCTCCACAGTCTGTTACAAGGATACCTTTACTTACTTTTTTTTACTAGTACTAACATATTCATTGAAACAGTCCAGGTGGACCTATGCTATTTATACATCTTTGTAGTGTGATGTTTAGACAAAGGGACAGATTTACTTACATCCTTATTTGGTTTGATTCTTCATTTAGCTTGCTTATAAACTTGTACAGGTATGTTACTATGTACTATGTAAGTATTTATGTACTTACTGCTTGTAGTTGTAGATGATATCTGCAAAGTATTTCCTTCGGGCTCTGTACACAGGATCTTTGAATCCTGGATGATTTGCATCAAGGTCAGATCCATAAGACAGAATGTGATTTGCAAACTTGTCAAGGTCTCGTATGCGACAAGGAAACCATGGAACAGTATCTGAAAGATCGAATGCTTGCTGTAGTTCTGGTTTGATTTTTCTGTCATCTTTTCATAGGATGTTAGGGAATGGAAGGACAAGAATTTGACGTGATTGTTATTTCACTGTTGTAGAGCTTAAAATTAATAAATTATGTTATAGAGAAGTTGCCATATTGACTGTAAATCTGCAAATAACAGTGAGAAAAAACAATTCTTCCTGCTGTTCAGGCTGTTTTCTCCACAGCTTCATGTAATGTGCTAAAGAAAATAGCAGAGCAAAGACATGTTCAACTCAGAATTTTTTTGTTTCAGTCTTGGTTTATTTAATATTTTTCAGCCACATAGATGGAATGGTTATATTTAATAGATATCAGTACCTACTTTACAAGTTAAAGATGTGTTGACCTTTAATAAGTTCCTGTCAGATCTTTAATGGTGTACACAATGTGTGTTTCAGTGTGTGCAGGAGGGAGGAGTGGACTAGATTCTACATACGTGGTATGCACCTGGTGTTCAAGAGAATACACATCTTCCCAGGCAACATTGTGGGTCTGAATATGTTGAGTACCTTTTATGCACTGGCACCATGATCTGTAGGTACGAATGAAATAATTACTTGTGTTGTACATGACTGGAGACTGAATATGGTAATTTATTTAAAAAAACCATAAAAAGTATGGTAGAATCCATTTGTTCATCTCTCAGGAAACCAGGGTTGTGTGGGGAAGAGTGGTAATTAAACTCCAAGATTTTGTGCAGTTCCACAGAAATCCAGTGTAACTTAATAGATGTAAACAAGACCAGTGTTCAGGAATACTAAGCACTGTGAAGTATAAAGTTTTGAAAGTTTTAGGTCCTTGGGAATTTTGAAGTTTTGGATATGTGCAAAATGTTTAATAATTTGAAGGTTTTTGACAGCATGAAACTGCAGTGTCGTGGTCATTGATATTATGTCCCAGTTGTTATAACATCAGGTAACTGAACCAGACCCTTCCCTGCCCAAATGCGTGTTGATGTGATTCATGAACCGAATGTGACAAGTTTTGTGTCTGCATCATACTGTATTAGGTTACTGTAGGAAAATGAATAGAAATAATGTTGGTGTGGGCTTCTGTGCCATAGTATTTATACCATGTAAACCAATTTCCCCATTTCCCTTGAATCCACTGGTACTACGTAATTGTAGTATTATTAATTGTACCCTGTTAGTGAAACAAATTGGATGTGCAGTTGTGTTTCTTGTGTTGTCACCTGTTTTGCAGAGCAATAACAGTTAGTAAAGATGGGCTAGATTTCATTAGACTTGATTTAGTTTAATGCTGGTTATGTAGATTATTCTAGTGAGAGGAAGAAAGTAAGTATTCAGTGACAGGTTGAGATGTGAGGTTAACAGAAGAGTGTTGGACGGATTACCCCCTTCTTGATTATTTTCCAGAATTCTGTCAATGTTTATGAAATGTTATTTGTTTAAGATGTGAAGCATGTCATTGAGCATCTTATCATTCTGCAGCTGTGCAGAAGTAATGATGGAATTTAGTTTAATGGAATGAATTTGGGCATCATCCCTTAATATTGCTGGAAACACACTCATAACATTGCCAAATATCTCCATTCTCTTCTACAAGTGTGAAGATTATATTGCTTTTAAAGATACACAGGATCTGTGAATGCAGTTTTCCTCAGTTTGTTATTTATATTAGAGACATGAGAACTGCATGTGGTCATCCTAAACCTTAGCAAAGCCATTCAGTGACTGACTGAATATTAAGAAGCAGCGCTCTGGCAGCAGAATGTGACAGAGACTGTCACGGAGATGTCCATTGGATATGTTATGTAGCCGGTTGAATCCAAAAATCAGCTTTTTGATACTTTCTGTTCTAATGTTATTCTGCCATGAGGTGGTTCATCTTGCAAGGATCCACTTTCCAGAAAATTTGGTGTGAATGTCATGTGCCCTGTCATCCTTCCTAGCTGTGAGGCTACCAAAGTGTCTGAGAGTGTCGCCATGTCAGAAATTTTGGGTGATGATTGTTTTTGTATCACTATTAATGATTGTTAGTTTTGTGAACAGTGACTCAGTAAGATTCATGGTGGTTTGTTGTATTATGATAAGGTATGATTAGGCTTGGTTTGTGTTTTGTTGTTGATAGGCAAGTTCCTGCATGGTAGGCATGTTGACATTTAATATCGGTAACTTTTGAAGATTATATCATGTCTTGAGACCACTTATACACGCAAGCCTGTGGAAAACTATATTGTGATGTGTCTAATATTTACACACTATTCTCATAGATGCTGGGATACCCACAGAACTAGTTGTGCTGATTAAGACATGTTTAAGTGAAACGTATAGTAAAGTCCTTATTGGTAAACATTTCTCTGATGTGTTTCCTGTCCGAATTGGTCTAGAACAAGGTGATCCTTTACCAGCATTGCCTTTCAACTTTGCTTTAGAGTATACGATTGGGAAGGTGTAGGAAACCCAAATGGAACTGAAATGAAATGAGACACATCAGCTGCTGGCCTTAGGCGGTGATGATGATGATGATGATGATGATGATGATGTGAAAAATTTGGGAGGTAGCATAGATATCATAAAGAAAAACAAACACAGAAGCCATAATTGATACCCATAAGGAGGCTGGTCTAGAAGTAAACACAGCGAGAAGCAAGTATATGTTGCTGTCTCATCACCAGAATGCAGGGCAGAGTCACGACGTGGGGATAGGTAACGGATCATTTCAAAACGCGGAACAGTTAAAATATTTTTTGGAAGGGCGGTAACAAATGAAACCTTGATTGAGGAGGAAATTAATAGGACATTGAATTTGGGCAATGCTTGCTACCAGTCTTTCCAGAACCTTCTGTTTTTTACTGCTGCCTAGAAAGGTAAAATTTAGAATGTATGAAATAATTTTGCGTGTTCTGTATGGATATGAAACTTGGTGTCTGACATTAAGGGGGGACCATGTTGTGAGGTTGTTAAGAACAATATTTGATCTGAGGAGGCTTGGACTGGTAGGAGGTTGGAGAAAACTCTATGATCAGGAAATTTGTAACTTGTTCTCTTCGCCAAGTATAATTATAATGATCAAGTCGTGGAGGGCAAGATGGGCAGGGAATGTAGTGTGCAAGGCGGAGAGGAGGAATGCTTACAGGATATTGATGGGAAAGCCAGAATGGAGGGAGGAGACCGCTAGGCAGATGTAGACATAGATGTGTGTGCGAGGATATTAAGACGGATCATAGGGAGATACAGTGGGGTGGCAAATACTGGGTGTAGTGGCTCAGTGGAGGGCTCTTTTGAACACTATAATGAACGTTCTGGTCTCATAAAATGTTGGGAATTTCTTGAGTAGCTGCACAACTAACAGCTTTTGAAGAAGGTCTTAGGTCGAATGAGTTAGAGTGAAGAACGTGGATTGGTTTTTGGAAGAGATGAAAACTGTGGAAGCTATTTGAGATGTCATATTCAAAATTTGACCAAAATTTGAGGGAGACGATTAATGAAAATCATGACACATTCAAGGGTTAGAACATTCAAAGTCTGTAAGAGTACTAGGTAATTTGAATTGTTTATAGTTATTGTATGTTAGAGCGCTCTGAGAATTGTAAAAATTCCTGAGAGTTGCAGTGTTTGCGACATACACGATGCTACAAAAATCTAAAGCTGATGAAAGTTGAGAGAAGTTGGCATATTTTCGGAATTTATAAAATTGTTGGATATATGAGAATGTTAATAATTACAGCAATTGTCAAAATAAGTAAATATTTCAAGATGGTTGTGATTTGGAATGCACAGTTTGTTGAATGTAATCGAGAATACGAAGTATTTAGGAAGAATCGGTAGTGATGGCGTTAATAAATTTATCGATTTAAGAATTGAAACGTGTTTTAATGTTTAAAAATACAAAAATATAACTACAAATTTGTCAGAATTGGACAAATTGTATTATTTTCAGCATTTGTGAAAAATGAAAGAGAAACGTATAAAAATGTAGAATATTGTAGACTTTTTGCAAAATGTCATGAGCAGAAGTATGAGAAATTGGAAACTTGTATTTTCCCCAATTTTCGGTTTTTTGGACACCTTAGTATATATAAAGTATTTGGAATCCCGATTATTTAAAACTTGTTGGCCATTGTAGAAATTCAAGTATTGTGGATAATGTAAAGAATGCAATATTTTTGGATGTTTAAATGAAGTTATGACTTGAGAAATGAAAAAATGCAAAGTGTAGAAAATGGGAGATACGAATATATTCAACAATTGCAGATGTTGAAATTTTCGATAATTGAAAGAAGTTGGAAATATCCAGAAATGGAAAATGACTCGCATATGTATTGCCAGTGCTGCAGTGCTCTAACATAACGTACGTTAACGTAGCTAAATACACTGGGATGGTGGGTTGTTTCGTCAGCCAGGCTAATGTATTACTAGCCATCTGCTTTTCTTTAAAGTACAAATTGCAAGAAATATTTGTGGGATACTGTTTTTCCTTTCTTCAGAAACATCTAAGTTCCATCAAGGTTAGGGGAACAGCATTTCTATCTTTTCTGAACCATTTGAGTAATAGAATACATCCTTATACCAGGGTTTAGCTTGAAGCTTGTTAGTTTGGAGGAGAGGTTGCCCTCTCAGAGGTTCCAGATTAATTTCCCATCATATGTGTATCTGCCGGAAGGGGGGTGTCCCAGCATTTTGAGGCATATTGTTGGTCAGCATGAATTTATTACATTTATTCAGCGCACCTAGTCAGATCTGGTGGTAACATATTTTTGAACTGAAGACCGACTGCAAGAAGACAGTCTAAGTGTAGATGGAAAGACCAGTTTATCATATGAACTTCTGAATATCCTTCAAAACAACCTGTCTCTGTAGAAGGGGATGAATCTATAGTTCATCCACATCTGAAGTGACTTAGTATTTGAAGCAGATTGTTTCCAAAAATCACATAAGCCAAATTTTCTTATATGGCTTTGAAGATGCTTAAGAAATTGTCTTGTAGTCCTAGTAACACAAGAATTAGTCATCTGATACAGATGTTGTGGTTCTAGAGTGAGATAGAATTGTAAGGTAATGATTTTAGAGTCTTGTACATGTGCAATGCGATTGAAGTTCAGTTACCTCTATTATCTTTGTGATTACGTGAGATGATGTTGAAATATGAAGAATGTTCTCGGAGAGTCTCGATAGCAATACCCAGCTCTCCTGATGGTGCACACTCCACCATAAATTCATACCTATCAGGAACTCTTGCTGATGGTCTTGATTCAATGTGCAACAAGTTCACACCATGCTTCTGCAAAACACAGGAATATTACAAGTCAAAATGAGGAAATAAACAGGAAAATTTCAACTCTCAAGTAGTTTAAACCTTTCTTGGTATTTAAAACTTAATTTTCAACCTCAGTTTCCCCAATGTATCTACTAAGTGGTTAAAGTTCAGAATTTGTTCCTGCCATACTAAATACTGAATTTCTGATTTAGAAAAACCCATAAAATGATAATGGGAACAATACATCCATTGCATGCCATACTGAAACTCACATTAATAAAATTATCTGGTCTCAGAAGACTTCAATTATTATGTGGTGTGGTTATACCAAGATAATCTTAAAAAATGTAATACATAACAATCATCTGGTCTCAAAAGGTGTAAATTATTATAAATTTTTATTATTTCAAGACTGTCTCCAAATAGCTCAGTACTCCTTATTTTCTCATGTATGTAGCAGAAGTGAAAGTGTTAGTGAAAGAAATTAATTTTATCACAGAAGTAGGCCTATGTTTCTGTAATCAGTTAGTTCAGAAGATCAGGTTTCCTATTTGAGTTTTCTTATGTGTTGAAAATGTTCACTCCTTGCTTGCTCTTTTTAACAGCCAAAAATATATTTCTACCAAATGAAAGTGCATTAAGTATGTATTCAGAACATCATCATAGCATAAGTACTGCAAGTACTGTAAGTGACTGTCGTGATTGATTAAAATTACAAAAAAAAATTCTGCCATCTTTATCAGCTGACATTCTTGCATAGCCAAGGTCGGACATTTGGAAGCACTTCTAGTGGTAAATGCCTCTGCTTGTGCTTTATGATTCAGTGTAGAGTTAGGTATTGTGATAGTTAATGAAATAAGTGTTTGTAACTGTTTTAATGCCATTATAATGCAAATATTGTGACTTTATGTGTGGAGTAAAGTTTCAATATTTTATTTACTGGAAGAGAAACATGTAAGTCTCCTGTCATGACAGGCGTTAATTAATTCAGATCCCTGGTGATGCTATAAGACAAGAATAAACTACTGTTCTGTAACCCAAGCATGGATTTAAAAATTGCAAATTTGATAGTACTGCACCTCGAACAATTTGAGGGACTTAGCAAGTGCTCCAACAGCTTCCTCATTTGGTGAGAAGATGAGACAGGTACTCTTAGCAGAGTCCCGACCCTCCTTGATGTAGTTTCCACCATCCATGAGGGTGGGCTGTAACAAGAATAAATAATCCACTTCATCGTACAAATTTGAAACAAGGAGTTCCAAGCAGAACTCACAAAGCTTCCTTTCTTAGAGCACCGTATCCTAGTGCAGCAGATTCATTGCTGTTGTTACACAGTGGAGTTTTCTTGGGTGGTCAGCCATGTCAATGTGGAGTTGGTGTCTGACGTTTCAGAGACCACCTCTGTCTCCATCATCAAGGGGTTATGTGATGAGTGTTGTGTTAGCTCACTATATTATACACAAATGTATATAAGTATAGTGTGCAAACACAAGACATGTACACATCAAATGAACATATAATGTGAGTTCTTGCTTGTCTACGTGTTCCATCGCGAAAACAACTTAGCAGATTTTGACGGAGTTTAATATTTGGAGGTCTGTATTAAAATCTGTCAGAGGAATTAAATTTTAATTCGTGTCACTTCCATAAAACCCCCATAGTTTACATGAAACGCAATTTGAATTTAACAGTTTTTCTGAAAACCACCTCATTGCATTTTCTTACAAAAATTGTTATAGGCCTGTGACATAATATATTGTCGCGCCGGACTGAGTGCAGAAATGAGAAGGGTAGTAAAATTTCCCCCCTCCCTTCCCCATCGTTGCCGAACATTCCAGATCTCCCCTCTTCTCGCAACTTCAGAAACCAATGTGCCTCGTCTTTCGCGTATGTACCTGACTAGTCTAGAAATGTAACTTGTATAAAACCATAGTCGTGAGGGTCGTGAGGCAAAGAGAGGCAGTACGGGCAGTACGTTTGAGTCTGAGCGAAAGGTTAGCCTGCAGTTTTCTTGTGCGGTAAAATAGTTGCGACGAACTGGCAGCGACAAGACCAGTTCAAGAAGACAGCACAGTGGTGTTCAGCGAAATAGCAGTGTAGAAGTACAAGTTGACGTCAGGATATAATAACTGAACAATATTAACGTTACAATATAATCTTAGTCGAGTTCTAGAAGTTTTATTTAAACCTTCTTTGACGTGATATATAATATTTAATGAAAAAAGGTAAAAAAACGTTATCCTGTTGCTTACCTTATTAAGCACTACACCACGAAGGCGTATGGGGGAGTGGATGTATAGATACACATTTTCTTGACCTCGGCACTAGTTGGAGGGGTAAGTGGTCAGCTTCACTCCCCGGCCGCTTTACCCCCGGGGAATGAGTCCCCGGTACCCATTGGATAGGAAGTTTGGTGAATTCCAAAGCCGGTCTGGACGATGTGGAGAAGAGAAAATTATTGACCCTACCGGGACACGAACTTCGACCCCTTTGTCGTCCCGCCCGTAGCTAGTCGCTATACCGACTGAGCTATCCCGGTTCCTTATATTTAATAAAGTGCACAGAAAAAATTATTGAATGCTCTGTAGCGTGGCATTTGTAGAACGACTAGCTTAGAAGCAGTAGATTTATAATTACAGTAAAGGAAAATCATAGTCAATTACATATACTCAGAGCCGCAAATGTTATATGCAGTATATATACACTCATGGAGAAGGGCCGCGCCATAGCTCAAGCGGTTAGTCGCTGGCTTCCCACCGCGGCGGCCCGGGTTAGATCCCGGGTCTGGTCAAATGGGATTTGTGGTGGACAAAGTGGCTCTGGGGCAGGTTTTCTCCGAGTACTTCGGTTTCCCCTGCCAATCTTCATTCCACCAATTGGTCCACAATCACCCTCACCTATCATCTGGGGCTGGTGCAATAGGCCAGAAGTGGCCGCAGTACAAGGGACTTAGTCCCACCCCACTAGCATTAAAAAATACACTCATGGAGAACACCTTTCCTCTCTTGTTTTAGTAAGAACATTTTTTAAATTGAATATACATTAATGTAAACAGTGTGGATTTCAATTTCCCTCCTCATAAAAACTGAAGAGATTGGAAAGTACACGTACAAAGTGATTATAACATGTTATGCGGAAAGAAAGAAGATCACTCTGTATTGCAAGCCTTGCATCGGTCTTCCAATTGTTTGACCTACGGAACTTCGACTCATTAACAGTACATACGTTTATTTTGCAAATGCAGGAGACAGCTTTGGTACAAAGTAGGGAAAGGAACGTTGGAAAGGAGAACTTCTGTGAAGACAGTATGTGTGAAGCTATTTAATTTGTTGAACAAGGAATGGGCTCAGGAGTGGCTGCAAACGATAAGGGAGTACGATACTTATGTGGGACAGTAGGCTGTCGTTATACCATGGAAACGGATATATCGTGGGTTTGATCGTCCCTCAGTGCAGTTGCATATGTTTTTGTTGTACAAATTTTTATGAAATGTTTTAATTAAAGTATGGCTACTGCACACATTCCTTGCTGTAGTGTACAGGTACAAAGGGTGAAGTCCATAATCCGCCATGATTAAGCTGCATGTTTCTGGTTTCTCTAACCTTGGGATTATTTCGTTCAAACAGCAGAGCTTATTGAAGAGCACTTTCATGTACTCGACCACAGTCTGAAATGCACTTCAAATTTCCTATACGTAGTTTAGTCTCTGCATAAATACTGTATACGTAGTACAGCCAATAATTTCATGGATTGGCCGCATAGTGGTGCTGTTATTCACTACAGCGGATACTTGGAACCACGAGATGATGTCGTGTCCGTTCTTCTCTCCTCCCAGCAAGAATCAGTTGCATGTGTGCAGTGTATTCAGAAAGAAAGTAACTGTTGTGAAGGGTAGTTGCCTGCGAGCGGCGAAATCGAGAATATCTCAGTTTGAGAAACGGAAAAACGTCAAGTTCTGCCAAAAAATTAGTCAAATCCGCTAACGAAACGTTTCAGATGATCAAGCAAGCGTGCGGCGAAAAAGCCTTGGGCCGTAGTGCTGTATTTAAGTGGCACAAATGTTTTGCACAGGGGAGAGACAGTTTTGAAGATGCTGAACACACTGGTCGGCCAAGAACTTTCAGAACTAACTCAAGATCAAAGAAGTTACAACGTTGGTGCGTGGCAACCGCTCCCAAACTGTAGATGAAATCGCAGCAGCAGGGATTAGCCATGGTACTTGCCATAAAATTCTGCCAGATGACCTGAACATGTCTCGTGTTACCGAACACAGTGCTCCACGCGTCCTGACGCAAGACCAACTTGACGATCTCATGAGCATTTGCGGTGACCTGACCGATAGTGCTATACAAACGTTGGCAGACTTGCATAGCTGCCAACGGCGTCTATTTTGAGGGAGGATATGGATAAGTGTATGTATCTTGTAATATGGTGCGTCAAAACCACAGTCCGAGAAATTATTGACTGTAGGATATAATAATAGGGATTCTAAAATTAGATAAATGCCAGTTTCAATTATAACGCGGGTGCTGAAGCTATCCCCTGAGTTCAGCTTTATATCGAGGGTCTGCTGTGTGCCCAAAGAAAGGAGAAATCATTGATAATGAACATGTTAGAAAGAAGCCTCATTGTGAATGCCGTTAAGATTTCACTTTGGAGCAAGAGAAGGATTAATATATTGACAGTACAGTGTTCTTCATGTAAAAGGAACTGTTTCAGCAATATGTATTAAATATGTTTCAAGATTCATAAAAAAAAGCATGTATTATATCGTATCGCATATTCCCCTCTTATTTGTATACTCATTTTGCATGTGCATGCGTGTTTGTATATGCCTGTACCATATTCTTGTGTATTATTATTATTTGCTTTTAAATGACGAAAATGATCAGTCACCAAATGTATCAATGAAGAGTATCCGCTGGGGAACGTAATTCTGATTTTTAAAATTGAATCTGTGAAGGATGCAGTCTTATATTTATGCGTTTGCGCGGTTTTTTTTTAACCAGAGCACCGCGTGAAGTGAGATATATGTATACATCGGCCGCGGCATAGCTCAAGCGGTTAGTCGCCGGCTTCCCACCGCGGCGGCCCGGGTTCGATCCCGGGACTGGTCATGTGGTATATGTGATGGGCAAAGTGGCTCTGGGGCAGGTTTTCTCGAAGTACTTCGGTTTCCCCTGCCAATTTTCATTTCACCAAATTCTCCATCATCATAATCACCCTGGGCAGATACAATAGGCCAATCAGTGGCCGCCGTGCCGAGTGGACCCAGTTGGACTCCACCCCCCACTAAGCGAATTAAAAATAATTATGTATAACAACACAATTATCAAAAGAATACTCACATCTATAACAGGAGAACCTGTCGAACCGGGGAAGCGTCAGATACAATACTTAGTGGTACACTTTACCCTAACAATGGCGACAATAACACATTAGTGCTCCTCATGCCGACTTTTATATAGTCTCAGCATCTAATGGCGCCGACTCTGTCTTGGACATTCCACCTCCCCCTCCCCTTTTCCTTTAATCGTTCTGATTATTGCCTTGTTGTCCTCAGAAGAGGGGAAACCTACTTTTTGGGCCGATACGTCATTCCACGAACCGACGCTCATGGACATTTCCTCTTTTCTCAGTGGGAAGGTTATACCGAGATCATGTAATGAGACGTGAGAGTTACGTCAGATATACTTATCTGGCCACAGGCAAGCAGACCTCAGTATCCGGTTAAGTAGAAATTGCGTTGTCCTGTAGACGTATCATTATGCTTAGTTTAATGGTTTAGTTTTGGATAATCCTGCGGTTAACTAGACATTGCGTTGTCCTGTAGACATATCGTTATGCCAAACAGCATTCAGTGCCGTTTTAGTAGCTCACTTTAATGCATAATGCTTAGTTTAATGTTTCCCCCCCCCCCGGCACAACAGCCCCAGTGGGCCTAGGCCTACCTCCATGAACTTCTCCGTTCACATTTTAATGGTTTAGTTTTGAATAATCATGCGGTTTACTAGACATTGCGTCGTCCCGTTTTAGTAGCTCACTTTAATGCATAATGCTTAGTTTAATGGATAATCATGCAGTTATGAGAGAAATGTTTTTCTGAGATATAACAAAGTCTGTGGATTATTATGTGTCAGTTCCAGAAGTGGTACCGGACAATTGGTTCTAGTATCCCTCTAGACTTGTCTTTTTTTACGTGATA